TCCATCCACCCATCCATCCACCCACCCATCTGTCCACCCACTCATCCGTCCACCCACCCATCTGTCCACCCACCCATCCATCCACCCATCCATCCACCCATCCATCCATCTACCCACCCGTCCATCCACCCATCTGTCCATCCACCCATCAGTCCATCCACCCATCCGTCCATCCACCCATCCATCCAACCATCCATCCACCCATCATCCATCCACCCATCCGTCCACCCATCCATCCGTCCATCCACCCATCCATCCAACCATCCATCCACCCATCATACATCCACCCATCCGTCCACCCATCCATCCGTCCATCCACCCACCCATCCATCCACCCATGCATCCATGCATCCATCCATGCATCCATGCATCCATCCACCTACCCACCCACCCCTCTGCCCATGTACCCATCCACTTAGAGACAATGGAGCATGACAGTGCAAAGTTCACCTCAGGATGCTGTCACAGGGTCTATCAAATGTCCATGGCCCTTGGTGATTGTCGGTCACTTTGTTACTCATTTGTGTAATCTCCAGTGAACCTTCCCCAGGTGTGAGTGTGGCTCGTGATACTTAAGTGTCTGCGGAGGTCACATGCAGCTGGCGAGCTGCAAGTTCACATGGATGTCCAGACAGATATGCTTGTGGTTTGCCCTTCAGCTCAGGAATACAGGGCTGGGTGGTCCTTGTGTTTGCAGGTGGACACAGCTGCTGCCACAGCTGATGGACGGCCGTGTGGGACTCCCTTTGTTGGAGGAGCCTGACATACATGAGGCTGTTGTCCCAGGAAGTTGCGGCTGCTGCCCTGCCATGGGGCTTTGCATACAGGAGCCGGTCCCTGCCACTCACCCACCCTTCCCTGGGAGGGAAGATGCCTCGCTCTTCCTCCTCAGCGAGGTGGGAAGAATGAGAGAGCTGACAGCTTTCTGCACACCCCAACCCCCAGGAGATGGGAGCTGCAGGAATAAACAGAACTGTGCAGTTGGAGTATTTTGCTAATTTGATTAAGTAACACCCCCAGTCAGAGCCCTGACATAAATACATTAGTGCAGGCTCTGGACCCCAGCTCGAGCGGCCCAGGGTGTGGGCTGATGGGCGTGGTGATGGGAAGACGCAGGGGAATCAGGGTCTGAGGTGGGCAGCAGGGCCATCCCCTCCCCCTGCGGAGCTCAGCTGCCTTCCTGCAGCCCTGGGTGTGAGGAGCGACCTGACAGGGGTCCTGGGATGCCTCTGGGGTCTGGTGACCTTGGAGGTGTCTGACATGCTGACCCAGAAGTGTGGGAGGAGCTGGGCCAGTGTCCACTGAGCCCCCCACCAGTGGGACCTGGCTGGGTCATTGTCCTTGGCTTCAGAGTAGACATAAGAGGACCCTCCTTGGAAGTGGCCTCCCCACTATGGGCTCCAGGGAGCAGCGGCTGCTCCTGCTGTGTCCCCCACACCCTCCCCTAGCTGCAGGGACCTCGCAGGCCTCTTCTCTCCCCTCTGGCTGCCCGAGCCTCACTGCAGAGGGCTTCTCTGTGGTGCTGCTGGTGTCTTCCTTCACCAGACTTGTGCTGGGACCTGCTGGGGACAGAGCTGGGTGAAGCAAGCTTTCCTGAGTTCTGGGGCTCTCCTGATTGGAGACCCCCACCCAGACCAAGGCCCATTCTGTCCCCTCCAGGTCTCCAGGGACTGCAGCAAGGGCCAGAAGCCGATGCGTCTGCCAGTGGGCGGAGCTTTACAGCACGTAAAGTGACCCAGGGCGAGGCGGTTGGGGCAGGTGGGGACTGTGGTGAACTGGATGTCTTTATCATGCTGCCTAAGAGGGGCACAGGCCCCTCACTTCCTGACTGGTCCTGCACAGCCCAGTGATAAATTTTAAACAGAAAGATCGAAGTTTTCCTGGGAATCTCTCAAATTTTTAGTGCTGGCAACAAATTCAATTTTTTAGAAAACCATTGTGCCAAACAAAATATGTTTGTGGGTGGGTCTGGCCGGCAGGCTGCTAGTTTGCAAATTATGGAAAGCTGACTTTTTTTCTGAAAAGTTTTGTACATTTCCTTTCAGTGTCTTCTGTAATCCCAGGGCCAGCATGTAAGGCAGATGTTGCCATTCCCATTTTACAGGCGAGGAAACTGAGTCATGGGGGGCTAAGTTGTCCAGCAAGTTAGTGGTGAGTTGGCTCAGGGACCCAGGTGACTACAGCCAGGAGTCCATGGCCTGCTACAGCCTTGTGGCCTCCTGGAGCTGAATCACTGCACAGCAGCCTGGGGTGTCTGAGCCAGAGAGGGAAGACTGTGGTTTTCTACTCTACCCATCAGCCTGTCCCACCGTCAGTGGCCAGCTGAGAATCAGTGGTCAGCTGGGAATCAGTGGTCATCCAGCACCTTTTGCCATGGCTGTGGGGCGTGTGGCTAGCTGGTAGTACAGGGGCCAGCTGGGCAGGTATGAAGTATGTCCCTGGCTTCTGGCCTCTTCGGTCCCATTGCAATTAGAATGTAATGGTGGCCATGGTTCCGGTGCATGGAATTGCACTGGGTCTCACGTCCAGAGCAGCACCCTGCCCTTCTTGGGGTTCCCCAGGGCTGGGGAATGGGCTTCTGCCTGGGACCCCTGTAGTGACTAAGTCCTATCCTATGCCCTCCCAATCTGGTTCCATTGGTTTCCGACAGGTCTGACAATCCTTGACCACGGAGCAGAGTTGTTTCTGGAATTCAGCTCCTGAGGGGCTGTGCACACCGCCAAAGAAACAGATTTCCATGGCACAGTGGAGCACGGGGAAGGCTCTTCGGCTCTGGATACTGCGGGGTCCCAGGGAGACAGACCAAGGCACTGTGACACGTGTATCGCCCAGGAGGAGGGGGAGGAGGGGAGGGCATTGCAGGGAAGGTGCACAGTGGGGCCTGAGGCACACATAAGGTCCTCAGCCCCGGAAACACCCACCCTGGTCAGCAGGGGAGCTGGGTTCCGAGAAGCGAAGTCACTTCCTGGTTGAGAGAGACGGAGTCAGAATTTGAACTCAGGTCAGCTGGCTGTAATCCAGGGATGCCGGCCTCCGTATGACTTTGTGGTGCTCAGAGCCATGTGGGAAGAGAGTAGATACACTGCGAGGTGCGGCTTCCTGGTAGCTCAGGTGGTTAACAACGGCTCTTCCCCTTCTGCCTACCTTGGTTTCCACGTCTGCATAATGGGGAGGGTAAGAGAACCCAGCTCAGTGCCTGGCACAGTCATATTTGTATGCTGCAGGAGGCCCCCAGCATGGGTCTCAGCAGCCTTTTATCAGCTGCTGAGGACCTCAGGACGGAAGTGCCTTTCTTGCTGAAGCACATGGATCTGTCACGTTTAGCATCTCTGGCGCTGCTCTTTCAAAACTCAGATGTTGTATCCTTTGGCTGAATGGACTCCACCCCCTTACGTGCCCTTCCCTGACCCCTGCTGGGACTTTCTCTACCTGGGAGGGGCTGAGAGAAGGACTCCGAGTTCACTTTGATCCACACTGGGGCCTTGGGACCATCCCAGCTCTCGCCGAGCCCACGGGAGCTAGGCACAGAGGCTGGGGAGTCAAGGGTCCCAGCCGGGGTTGTGCTGGCTCTGGGATGCCGCAGGGTGCAGGCGGGTGGTGGTTCCTGAAGCTGGGGCTGGAGTAGCCTCGGGCTTGTGAGCACCCAGCCCTCGACACATCATCCGGAGGCTGTGCACCCTCCTGCTCACAGTATCTTGTCTGCATCCCCCCAGAGGGAGGGACTGTGTGAGCCTGCGGGAGCCACAGGATGTGCACACAGCAGAGTGAAAGATGGAAGCTCCAGTGGAAACCCTGAGTATTGATTCCATGTAGACCATGGGCACTGAGATTTTTCAGGCAGGGTCCTGGGGACAGCAATTGGTTACTGCCTCCTTGGAAGCAAGACATCCCTGCCCACCTTCACTCCGCAGCTCTGTGCCTTCTGGCAGGGCCAATCATGGCTGCTGTGTTGTTCATGTCCACCCCACAGGCAGCCTGCCCTATGAGTACAAGATTGTGATCGCTGGCAACCACGAGCTGACCTTCGACCAGGAGTTCATGGCCGACCTCATCAAGCAGGACTTCTACTACTTCCCGTCTGTGTCGAAGCTGAAGCCCGAGAACTATGAGAACGTGCAGTCGTTGCTGACCAACTGCATCTACTTGCAGGACTCGGAGGTCACCGTGCGGGGCTTCCGGATCTACGGCTCCCCATGGTGAGTGTGGTGGGTGGCCCTCCTGATGGCCAGAGAAGGCGAGAGGGGCAGACAGTTGCGGGGGTCCTCCCCGTGTGGGGCTGGGGCACAGAGCTGAGCTGAGTACCCAGGGAGGTAGGGGTGGTGGGGATAGGAGCTCTGGATCATGAAAATCAGGACTGAAGCTCATCCCCTTCATCCCCTGTGACTCTAGGTAACTCACTGTCACCCTCTGGGTCTCAGTTTCCCCATATGTAACCAGGGAAAGAGAACATGAGCCGTACCCTCTGTGCTATATATTGTCTCACATACAGGGAAGTGCTGTTATCTCCATTTCATAGATGAGGAAACTGAAGCAGGCACAAAGAGGGTAAAGACCTTGCTGAAGGTCACACAGCCAGGAAGGAGCAGAGCTGGGCTTAAACCCAAGCAGGTTGGCTCTAGAACTCCCACTTTTAGCCATTATCCTATAGTGCATGAGTCCTTCTCTATTGCCTGTGTTCTAACCCTACACAAAAAGATACATGGAGCAGGGGATCAGTCAGCCTGATTGAGAAAAGGCAGTTGGAATTATCATGGATGCCAGAAGCCTGGCTGACAGTGTAGGTGTGGCAGATGTTTAGAAAAACCAGACTCATACTGAGCCTTTGTGATGCAGAGTGATCAGGTCTCTGCTTGAGCCCATGTGGCTGGGTGGTAGCCAGTTTGTCCATGGGAGCTCTGGTGATAATGGTGATGGTGATAATGATGACAAAGGCAAAGGGATGATGATAGTGATGGTGGTGGTGATGATGGTTATGGTGGTGAAGGTGACGGTGATGGTGATGAATGGATGGTGATGACTGTGATGATACTGATGATGGCAGTTGTGGTGATGGCATGATGATGATGGTGATGATGGTGATGACGGTGATGATGATGATGGTAATGGTGGTGACAACCATGGTAGAGATGGTGATGATGGTAATGACAAGGATGATGGTGATTATGGTGGTGATGATGGTGATGATGAAGATGTGGTAGTGGTGATAGTGATGGTGGTGATGATGATGGTGGTGATGATGATGGCAGTGGTGGTGGTGATGAGGATGTGGCAATGGCAATGGTGATGATGATGATGGTGGTGATGATGGTGATAGAGATGATGGTGATGATGACGGCAGTGGTGATGGTGATGATGAGGATGTGGTAGTGGTGATGATGATGTTGGTGAAGATGATGGCGGTGGTGATGGTAACACAGATGATGGTGATGATGGTGAGGTGGTGGTGATGGAGACAGACATGGTGATGATGAGGATGTGGCAGTGGTGATAATGATGGTGGTGATGATGGCAGTGGTGATGATGATGGTGGTGGTGGTGATGGTGATGATGAAGATGTGGTAGTGGTGGTGCTAATGATGGTGATGATGGCAGTGGTGATGATGATGGTGGTGATGATGGCAGTGATAATGATGGTGCTGGTGGTGATGGAGATGGTGATGATGGTGGTGGTGGTGGTGGTGATGGAGATGGTGATGGTGATGAGGAGGATGTGGTAGCAGTGATGATGATGTTGGTGAAGATGATGGTGGTGGTGATGGTAACAGAGATGATGGTGAGGCAGTGGTGATGGAGATAGAGATGGTGATGATGAGGATGTGGTAGTGGTGATAATGATGGTGATGATGATGGCAGTGGTGATGATGGTGGTGGTGGTGATGGAGATGATGATGATGATGGTGGTGGTGATGGAGATGGTGATGGTGATGGTGATGATGAAGATGCGGTAGTGGTGATAATGAGGGTGGTGATGGAAGTGGTGATGATGATGAAGGTGGTGATGGAGATGATGGTGGTGATGGAGGTGGTGATGCAGATGATGGTGGTGATGGAGGTGGTGATGGAGATCGTGGTGGTGTTGTGAAGATGTGGCAGTGGTGATAATGAGGGTGGTGGTGATGATGGTGGTGATGATGACAGTGGTGATGATGATGGTGGTGGTGATGAGGAGGATGTGGCAGTGGTGATAATGAGGGTGGTGATGATGGTGGTGGTGATGATGGTGGTGACCACAGGGATAGTGATGATTAACACAGTGGCTGTGGTGATGGTGGTGATAGTGGTGGCAGCAAACTTTCTGGGCAGTCACAGTAAGCTAAACCCTGGTCTAAAGGTTCCCGATCATTTTCTCTAATCCACATGCAGCCCTATGAGGACTGATTTATCATCCCCATTTGTCACAGTCACTGCCTCGTTGCTGAGACACAACACCAGCAACTTAAACGGGGAGAGGTTATGTTGGCGCAGGGTTCAGTCCATGGTTGGCTGGCCCCAAGGAGACGCAGCATGGCTAGGGACATGGTGGAGAGAAGGTGCTCCTTTGTGACGGCCAGGAAGCGGACAGAGAAGGGAGGAGCTGCGGAGGGAGATGCACCCTTCCAGGCCATGCCCCCAGTGGCCACCTCTTCCAACCAGATCTGGCCCCTTTACAGCAAGTCAGCCACAAGCCCCTATAATCCAGTCACCTTCCACAAGCCCTGTCTATGAATGCATGAGGCTCTTGGGGGACATCTAGATAGAAACCACAGCACCGTTCTCTAAGTGGACACATCAGCTGTCCCTTGGAGTCCCAGCTGGCAAAGGCCGCAGGATGTCCAGTGCTGGCAGGTGGAGGTGGGTAGCACACGCAGGAAGGAGAGACCACATATGCTTCAAGGTGTGGGGTGAGGGAGGAGGGCTCCTCAGAGGACGCAGGCTGATGTGAGCCTAGGGGGACCAAAAGGGCACTTACAGGCTAGGAAGAGGTGGGAATTTGGGGGTACACGGGCCTGTGTGGGTGAGGGGCTCCAGGAAAGATGGCTCCCACACAGTGCATCTGGCATACTCAAGGGGTGCCTTGGTTGATACCACAGGGTGACACTTGGGGGCTGGAGGCTTCCCTGAGGCCCCAGAGCCAGCTGCCATCTCCCTGGTAGTCACAGAGTCCAGGGTCTCAAAGGGCCCCCTGCAGCCTGTGAGGTCCCAGACAAGGCCTGTGGGTTACCTGGGGTATAGTGAGCTTAACACTACAGACAAGCAGGGGAGAGGAGGTGGCTGAGGCTGCTGCCAGGGCCTCAGAGCCCAGCCCTGACATCTGGTTAGGCAAAAAGCCAGGAGGAGGCCTTCTAGGAGGGGCTGTTGTGGGCTCAGGCCTGGAGGTGTGGGGACATGAAGAAAGGGTGGGAGCGAGAGGTTTGAGTGGAGCGGGGAAGAAGGCAGGGGCTGATAGGTTGAGAGGTGCAGGCTCTGAGTACTGGGCCAGCAAATCTGGATCAGATCTCTTTTCCCAGTGGTTTACAATCCCCCCTTTTCTTTTTCTTTTTCTTTCTTTCTTTTCTTTTTTTTTTTTTTTTTGAAGTTATGGGTCTGGAACCAAAAAGCCTGAGCCTATATCTTGCCTACACCTCTCATGGGCTGTGTGATTTGGGTGCTCTACCACTGAGATGCAGCCCAGCCCTTTTTTATTTTATTTTTTGGAGACAGTCTCACTAAGATGCTAAGGCTGGTTTCTAACTTGCAACCCTCCTGCCTCAGCCTCTTGAGATTACTCTATGTACCACTGGGCCTGGTGATAATCATTTTTAAGTATGAGTATATCCCATGCAATTTTTGGGACATGCTTACATCAAAAATTATTTATTCTATATCTGAAATTCAAATATAACTGGGCATGTGTCTTTCATTTGGCATCCCTATTTCTGAAGTTTTTAGTTCTGCTTGTTTCTCTCTTTTCTTCTTTTCTTTTTTAATTTAATGGGATTTTGTGATTTAGAAAAGCTCCAAGTTCATAGAAAACTTGAGTGTAAGGCACAAAGATTTCCACATACACCCTTCATCTGCTTGTTCCTTGACCTTCATAAAAATGGACACAATACAGTATGGCTTATTATATAATATGGGGTCTAATTTTATTACTTATATTATTTTTAAAGATTTTTTTCATATTGTGATGGTTCTTTTTTTTCATTGCTTTGTAGGATTTCATTGAGTTTGGTATGGTAATTTCTTTATCCATTCTACCCAAATCTAACCACCACTGGCTTGGAGCTATTAAAGGTACCGTTGCTGTGCACACTCTTGTACATGTCTCTAAGTGCACAGAAATGTATGCTCCTAGATGTCTCTCTCTCACACACACACACACACACACACAGGTATGGATGTGGTGTGTCCAAATCCATTCCCCTTACTGGTACTATCTTACCTTGCATCCTTGCCAACACTTGCTACTGTAGGGCTTTCATGTTTTGTCCTGGTGGGCGTGTGCAGGTGGCTCAGTAGGTTTCAATTTGCATTCCCCTGATGGCCAGGGAGGCTGAGAATCTTTTTATGTGTTTACTGACCACCTGATTTCCTCTTTTGTGAAGTAGTCTTTTGATCATTTAAAAAACTGTTTCAATTATCTGTCCTTTTCTTACTGGTTCACGGTTTCTGTGTGGCTTCTGAATGCAGTGGGAGCCCTTTGTCAGCTGCAAGTTCACAATTTTTTTTTCCCTCCTGTGTGAGCTACCTTTCCCCTATTTCAGCAGAGCTGTTGGATAAGCAGATGTTCTTAACTTTGGTGTAATAAATGTCTTAATGCTTTTCTTGATGGGAAGTGCCTTTTGTGCCCTACTAAGGAAGTCTTCCCTTCCCTTGAAGTCATGAAGATTTGTTTCTGTTTTGTTTTCCAGAACATTATTAATTTGCCTTTTATGCTCAGGTGTTGGACCCACTGAAATGACAGTGTTGATGATGTGAGTGAGGGATCCCATCAGGTTTGACAGTGTTGATGTGTGAGGAGGGATCCCACGAGGAATGATGGTGTGAGGTAGGGATCCCAGTAGGAAGGACAGGGTTTATGATGTGAGATGGGCTCTCACCAGAAACGACAGTGTTGATGGTGTGAGGCAGGGATCTCATTTATGATGCTTCCACACCACTTGGCCTATCATATTATTGAGAAAGGCTGTTGTCTGCTCCGTGGAGGTGGCCACTGTGTACTGCCATCTTTGTCTAC